AAACGAGATATGCTGTCGCTGGACAAAAAAAAAAAACAAAAACAACAAATAAACAACAACGACGGAAAAGAAACCAGATTGCAACAGTGAAGTATGATTTGAATATGAGCAAGAAGTGTTTCAGTCGTACGAGACCGCGACACGCTGCAATTATACACGGAGAACATGAAATTCTTGGACATATGTGAGCATTTTTAAACTATGGCCCGTTTATGATTATATATATATATTTCTTCTCATATGGATCTTCATCTTCGATTGGTATTCACTGATTGTATGACAACGCACCGCTTCGCGACGGTTTCACTGATTAATTTATTATTAATTGCGGCTGGTGTCTCTTTTATTTCTCTTTCATTCGGTCGCACAGTTTATTGGCTCTGAAAGTGGAATCAGAGAAACGAACACATGAACGCGCCAACAAACATCATCTCTTTCCAAATTGCATTCATGCCAAAAACCGTCATTTCGATACATCAGTGCGCGCGCAAGCCCATCTCGCAAAATCCATTTCAAAAAATTTAATAAATTGATTTTCTCTGATCGTAAATTTCACACAAATACATACGTGACGGGCGATATGGTGTTGCTGCCGATTACGATATTTCTTCTTTCTTGCTACATATTTGGTGACATAACAATAATTATAAACAAAATTGAGTAAATGCGACAAAATCCAAAGCGACGACGACGACGACGACGACACAAAACTTCGTCTCTAATTTTGGCGTTATTATCGTCAAATTCTAAAACGAGATAATAACCACTCGAATTTTGCATGAATAAATTAACTAAATTGCCCGTTTTTTTCTTCTTCTTCGATGGTTATTAAATAGATGGATATCAAAACCTAGCTCTTCTTCTTCATTAAGAGAATATCACAAATGACGTATTTGATGCTGTTAGCAGCGAAAGATACTGAACATATTACGCATTTTGTTAAACTGTTTTTTTTTTTCATTTTTCATGTTCTTGACACATGACCAAATAAAATGTGATTATAAAAAAAAAATCGAATTATCATTTTACTGTGTGGCTAGTGATGCGAACATAGTTGCTCAACTTGCACACGCACATATCTGATCTAATATGTTGGAGTCCAACGGAATTCATTAAATTTTCGCCGATTATCACCATATTGGGCATTGTGATATGGCGTCTGAGAAGCTTTTTTTTTGGTGGGCGATCAATATGAATTATTCACGACGAAGAGCATATATACATAAAGCATAAATGTCAAATTATTATCTTATTCTTGGAAGACCGAACTCATTCAATTTGATTTCTGAACAAAATGAAGAGTGAGAGCAATGAAGGACATTGAATAATTTTTTGGTGAGAATTCAGAATGTGATTTGAACACTTTTGTTGATATTGAAATGAAATTCAAGTACTAATGTGCCCAAACATAACCGGGAATCTTTAAATAAAACACAACATTTTAATTTATTCTTCCAAATCTATTTTATCGCCTTCAAAACAATCTCCATCGTAGTATTTTAGCGATATTGATATTTAATTTAGATTCTACATACAGAGAGTCACATTTGAGTTTGCAAAAATAATTGTGATCACACAAATCGAATTACGTACAAATAGCAACTATTGATGGGCATTGTTAATATAGTATTTATTATCGCGGTAGAGTTTTCTACTATCTGAAAAAAGGCATCAAAAGTGCCATAACTTATATATAATTGCTCCAGTTTGCCAAGTAATTAGGATTGATTTCAACAATTTCATCATTTTCTACTTCATTTGTTTGTCTATCCACAATGCTAATTGATTCAAATGGATTGAATTCGAATATATCACCACTTCGTGTACATCTCGTTCCGTTAGAGTGATGCATTCAGAGTGAATGACGAAAGAAATATCAATACAAAAAAAAATAACTGACTTCGGTGTTGATTTATTCATACATCAGGGTGCAACAAAATTATTCAATTTGTGTGAATCATCTATCTCATTTTTTAAGTTGCAGTCGATAAACGTCATTTTTTAAACTTTTTTTAAAATGATTCATAAATTGTGCGTTTCTTTCTAATGTCATATTGCTTGACCCTGTTGATTATTATCACTGGTATTTGTTCCATATTTTATTATTGATTGAAGTGATTGAAACTGACTTTGAATATTACGACCATGTTTATATTATTCGTCACTTAAATATCTCTCCGTCATTCATATTACCATCAAATTTTAATGTATTCGCTGGAAACCAATGGATACCACATATTCATCTGTATGCATATTTATAACATAGATTACGGCATCGATCACTTTTAGTTTATCTCGTTTTTTTTGTATGAACCATCGAAAAATTCATCAGTGGCCATAAAAGTGTTTGTTAACACATCCGCTTTCATGCCATGACAATTGCTAATTGTTAACAAATTAAAAAGCAAAATTAGTTCAAAAGCTACCAAAATCGTCCAGAAATTGTAGAATCAATGTTCATTCGTTTTTTTTTTTTTTTTGATGACGTGCAAAACCAATTCATATCAAGTATGTTTAATCGATTTTTGGTTATATAAAAATCAAAATCGTAACTTGATCATATATTCTGAATTGATCGATCAGTTGGTCAGAATATTTTTGCCTGCGCTCTTCCGTTGGCATCGTCTCACATATTTAAAATGCACAAACTGATCAAACACGGTAATATATCAAGCATATATTTATTAAGTTGTTTTTTTAATGATTTCCATCATCATAATATGTGGAAATCATCATATTTCTATCTCTTTGTGCATCAAACATGTCCTTAACATGCTATAGGAAATAACAACAGGTTCAATTGCTGAACCGCTGAGTTTCAAAAGTCAATTCATATCTCAAAGAATCGTATCAATTGTTGATTTTTCTCCTATTCAATACATATTTGATAACCGACTCCGTACAATATAAAATAATGTGAAACAACGCTTTTGACATTACGTGAAGACAGCGTGCATGTTATTTTGCACCTTGTTTTTTTTTTTTTTGTAAACGTAAAATCAGCTCAATTCATTATTCAATTTGTTTGGTGCAAATGTGGAACGTCGTAAATGTAATTTCTTGGAAACGAGAGAAGAAAAAAAAAACTATTTGCTGAAGTTCAGTTAATGTGTACATTATAAACAACCGTTTCGGTCAATTTTAAGCATCTTTCAAATAATCATATTTTTTTACAATTTTGTTTTTTATACATTCATGTGGTTGTGGTTGTTGCTGTCGATTTTTTTTGCCGATATTTGCGTCTGAATTTCAGAGATCTTAAATATCAAATGGCTAATTTGTGTGAATGCAAAATGGTGTGTTTCACATCAAAAATCCAGTTTTTCTGCTAGCATTATTTTTTCTTCTTCATTTTTTTTCTCGCCGCTATGTGAATATGCGTATTCTTTTTTCATCAAAAAAAATACATTTCACGCCACAAATTTGGTCGGTCGAAATCATCGAAACCGCAAATTTTGTAATATTTTCGATATTTAACCTTTGACCCAATAATTTGTTTGAATTATTTGTATAAATTTGCTCATAGAAAAGCCAATTGATTGCGTTGTTCTAGCCGCTACATTTCGTGTACCGTGTTTATAGTATAGATTTAAGAAATTGCTTCATTTCATTCGAAGACGAAGTAAATGCGATACTGTTCTCATCGCCATGCGCTTCATTGAATTGTGCTTTGCTTTATAACATCAAAAGCTATGATCTCACTCTCAATTGAAGAAATTTTGATGTCAAGCTTTTCTGCGAATATTTCTCCCGAATTTAGATAAGACTTTTATGAACGATGAAACATTTATTTATTGGTGTTTCATGCGTCGGTAGTGCAAACTCATTCAATTTAAAGTGTTTTCTTTTCATTTTTAAATTTATATCTCTTTAATTCATTTTCAACTGTATTGATTGTATAACTTTTGGCGCTTTCTCATTGAGCTTGGAACATTTTTAGTGGTAACTTTGTTTGAATCTCTCTTCTACACAGTTTTTCTTTATAATTCAAGAAATTATTGCCAAAAATGAACAAACATAAAAAAGTTCTTTTTTGAAAGTTACATTGAAAGCACCTGTTGAATTGATTTAGTTTAAAATAATTCCAATCAACAAACATATTGCATCTTACACAAAACTTTAACGATATTGCATAAGTCCGAGTAAGAGAGAGAGGGAGAGAGAGAGAGAGAGAGAGAGAGAGTAACTTTCGATTTCGATAAAAACGAGTTTTCATTCAGAAACACATAATATGGTGTGTGTGTGTGTATATGTATTTTCTTTCTCAATAAAATCAATGGCTGTGATGCCACTCACAGACATGATCACGCGTCGTTCAACTTTCTTTGAATCACCTTCACCTTGAGCGGTCGTATTCAAACAATAATAAAGAGTATGACAGTTGATAAAAAAGGCATTGCTGGGTACTGAGTGTGCGGCGCACACTGTGCGATTGCACAATACTTGGATTACTGTGCTCGAACGACCTGCTTGATAACCGGTAGTTTAACGGTGGTTTGAATGAGTATCACTCGCCGTCTTTGTTACTCGATAAATGAAGCATGATGATGTTTGGCAGCAATGCCGTACAAACAATAACAGACTCACACAGCGAGCTGAGATAGAGACGAATGAAATAAGAAATGAAATATGACACAACGTGTGGTATGTATGTTGTGTGGCGTGAGTGAAATCGATGTGATTTTGAACTTGAGTGCAATCTCATTCGATTGAGAGTTTTGTTATAGTTATGGCAGCTATTAACACCTCGTTTAAATTGTTTACATTGTTCGGATTGATTGAATTCATCAAAAGCAATGGATTTGCAATTGTGATGTTTGTATCTTGCGGTTTCTTCAATTGCAGTTTTTTTTTATTTTTATTTCGTGTAATTGAGAAAAGGAAAACAAAATGTTCTTAAATTTTTACGATTCGTTTATTCAACATAATATATTTCAATTAAATACAATTATATTTTTTTTTCTTTGTTCATGATAGCAAAAATTCTGACAATTATTAATTTGATTAAATGATTAGTGTCAACAATGTGTAACGAAATGGTTTTTTTTTAAATCAAATTGGTTTTAATTATTTATGAGTGATTGTGATTTAGATTGAGATTATGTACAATATAATGTTGTTGAAATTCCAATGTCAATCATCACTCTGGTTAACAATTTTTTTAATTTAGCTCATCACGCTACATCACTCTGTCAATTAAATATCAAAAATGTATTTTCAATGAGTATTTTATCAGTGTACTATATAGTTTTTGCTCGAACATATGTTTTTTTCTATTTGTTCTTTAGTTGAAATTGCTTATGGATTTTCTTTAGTTAAAAAATAATTTCACTGGCAATAGTCGCGCGCTTAAAAGATAAGGATGAAAGAAGGAAAATAAGATGAAGAAGAAAAAGAAAGATAAAACTTATAGACTTATGGTAACGTATTGGAGGGAAATCGAACGTATAGCCTGAAGGAGTTGTGTATTGTCTCTTTAATTCATTTTTTGTTTCACTTGCCGACCGTGTTAGCACATTGATTTTATTTGTTTGTTGAAAAGCAGCGTGTTGTTCTTAGTATCTATATCCGCTTTGTGGGTTGAAGTTGCCGTTGCCATTTCCATTTGGACGATTACCATTTTGAGCTGGCGGAATGTATTGGTTGTTTGGTCGTTGAGGTTGTGGTTGAGGTTGAGGTGCATCGTTTTGTGGAGGTATGTATTGGTTGTTTGGGTTATTATATGAGGGAGCTGGTTGGAAATCATTTTGTGGTCGATTGCTTGGATAACCATTGAATCCATTATTTCCATTATTGTTACCATTGCCGGCGAAATCATTTTGTGGTGGTGGTTGGTAGTTGTATCCATTGCCATTACCGTTGCCATTTCCATTTGGAGCTGCACACATTTTCAATGTGAGAAAGAACAAAAAATATATAGAAATTAGATGACAATTGGACAAAAAATTGAAATCTTGAATTGTTAAAGGCGTAGGAACTTTTTTTATAAAAAAGTGATTCTCTTTCTTATATTCATAAGTGCGGACACTTTTTCGGTGCCAATAACAGCTGTGTTCATTTGTGAGTGAACTGTGATGCTTAAAAACTTACCAAAATCGTTTTGTGGATTGTATCCATTGCCATTTCCATTTCCATTGCCATTTCCATTGCCATTTCCATTGCCATTTCCGTTATTACCATTTTGGCCAGCAGCAGCAGCCTTTTTTAAAAATCAGAATTACAAAAGAATAAGTTTCCAAATTCAGCACCGTAATAAAAATATGACTTACAGCTTGTTGTTCAGCGATTGCTTGTTGAATGGCTGGTGATGGGGTTGGAATATGTGCTCCTTGCGGTTGGAAACCTATTTAAAATGACAAGAAAAGTTAACCGAATGTGTTTCTATTTCATGGAAATTCAATGAATAAAATACCATTTTCATCAGCAATCTGCAAAATAAATAAAAATAAAGTGATTAATTCAAGTTTTTTTTTTAAGTAACAAAAAACTCACATATGTTACAGTATATAAGACACCGTCTGGTCCAGTGTAACTGTATGAGCCTCGAACCGATTGAATTTCATTGTCAGTGCCTTTGTTTTTCACTTCGCCTTGTTCCTCAGCTTTGATGCCGTTCTCTAAACACACATATTACAGATGAAATTATTTGTTAAACAAGCCGCAATCATTTGCACACCGCAAAAACGGAAATACGTTTTCATCATATATTACTCAAAACTACTATATTTCTTGGGTAAATCATTTTATTTATAAACACACCCGTTTCATAAGAGTATTTGTAGCTGCCATCGCCATAGTTTGGTTCATTTTCGTAGGATAAAATTGCAATTGGTGGTTGTTGCGATTCTTGTGGCTGTTGGTTACCGCCGCCGAAGCCTTGTTGTGGTACACCGTTTCCATTTCCATTTCCATTGAATCCATTATTACCATTTCCATTACTTTGATCTGGTGGCGCCAAACCAAAATTTCCGCCTGAGCTTTGTGCATCTTGTGGTGGCAAATATGTGTTGTCTAACTTTGCACAGTTACACACAGCTAATAATGTTGCAAAGATAATCTGAAATAAATAGTTCAAGCGTGCAGAAACATGAGATGGGCAAGTGATTAGAGACATAGATATATGTAATCATCATTATGCTATACGAGAAGAAAAAGAGTGTTACGTTGAAAACCAATTCGTCTAATGTATGCAAACGCTGGCATGCATACACCTTTTAGCATAAATTCGTACGAATAACATAATTTGCAGGCATTTCATTTGACACTTCAAACGATGTGTGTGTGTAACATGATTTTCTTTCGACAGCTTTTTATGCACCGCAGCTGTACATAATTTTCAGTTGTTACATTGACACACTATCAGATTATCTGGCAGATTTATGGGAATTTGAGGGGAAAAAATGTGGCCGATGCTCATCGCTCTAAAACACATACCAAGTTTTGGATACCACCGAATCAGATAAGAATGAATATGCATTCGATACCTGACGATGACAATAATCCTTATCGATGGAATCACACATATAGTTGGATGCATGTATTCAAACATACATTCATTCAAGCATCAGAAAGGCATTGACGTCAAAATGAATGTGTACATTGGACATATTCAGGTGGATATCATCATGCAAACAATGGACCAAAGCCAGACCAAACTTGTAAACGATGTGTAAACATATGGCCATACATACCGATATTTTACTTTGAACAAAGTTTTCGATAGGCCTTCGCATCTTTATTATTGAATATTCATGTTTGTTTGACGTGCGGATCGCAAATTTTTCTACACTTTTCCTTTCTCGGGCGCATATTTTTAGATTTTATTGTTCCGATTTGCAATATTTTTTTTTTTTTGTAATTCTTTTACATTTATTGTGTTCTCTTTCTCTTGCATGTGTTTCTATCTTACAGCCAGCTAAGGTAAGAAAAGTGTTTTTTTTTTTCTCATTCTTCATTGAATCGTTGTGTTGATTGCTCTGTACGCAACACAGAACAACAACACTGTGTACGACCGCCAAAGAATATCATTGTTTCGTATGGGGTGGCACACACATGGTATGCATTTGCATTTCATTCGATCGAGTTCATTTAGTATAAGAATACCTTTTATTTCATTGTCGTTTTCAATGTGCCGAATATGGAACTGAATGAAAATAAAAATTGGCGAACGAAAAGAAGAGACAAAAAAAAACTAAAAAAAAAAAAAATGCATACAGAAAAAAAGTGCCGAAGAAGAACAAAGGAAACAAGGTACAAAAAAGCGCACATACAATACAGGTATTAGATGGTTTTTTCGTCATTTTTCGAAAGAAAAACCAACAACAACGACTCTCTATTAGTGTACGGAGTCACGTTCCATGATGAAATTAGCGATCAGACAACGCTCATTTGAGCTCAATGCAAAACACACACACACATAGACACACGATGCACAACAAAATAACAAGAAGAAAAGCACGAATTATAACGGCAGAACATCAAAACTAGATACATTCGTGCCAATCTAATGTCTATTGATGATATTCGATACGTATGCTTATTGTGTCTATCTTCTCTTCTTATTCACTTTGGTTCGATTCATGTGTGCGAATTATGTGGTTGTGAACACACACACTCTATGGGCTGCTTGCATGGTGAATGATGGCACTGTGCATAAAAATTAATCATTAAAAAGAATATGCCGAATAATTTATGTAGCGATGCGCTACTGATCACATTAATTCATAAATTCACTTGTTTTCGTGAATTGTTATTTGGTTAAGAATCGACTGTTAAGTGTCGTTCGATGCACATCATCATTTCATTGAATGCGAACAATTTTTGCATCATAATTAATGTGGAATTAATTCGGGATGCTAATTTCGATAAGTATGTGTTTGTATTTCGGCGATGTTTTCAATGTACATTACATTGTGTCCCATTATGCGATGGCAAAAGCAAAAAAAAGAACACAATCAATAAAAAGCAATGCAATGCGTAATGGATTCTCTTTTTTTTCGCTCTTCGTTTCATTCATTCGAAAACTGTTAATTGAGTTGCTATGATTGTTCCATAATTGAAGCATTAATGTAAATTACCAGTTTGGACTTTATGCCAATTTTTCATTTGTACTTGGTTTTTGTATTGAGATTGAGAGAAGCAGAAGACGTGAGGGAGAGAGAAGAGAAAGAGTGAGAAACAGAAGAAGAAGAAAGAAATATGGGCCATTTTTGTTACGGTTCAACACATTTTGTTCATACACATCGATATATATTAATGGTGCAATAAGTGTATGAACATTGTTATACATTGGCCATTTCCAGTTTTGTGAACCACCATCGCGCCAAATGAAACGCGGTATCATTAATTTCATTGTCTAATTGTTGTCTAAACTGAACTGCCGTTCACCGTTGCGCTTAAATTTGTTACCACATTTCTATATTATTCTCTCTTTTTTGTTTGCGGCTGTTGTTTGAACGCGTTTCAATTTGTTTTCCTTTTCGATTTTTCTTCCCGTTTTCAATTCATCTCATTATATTCCAAAGGAAAATGTATAATGCGGTGTGTTTATTTATTGTCGTGTGTTGCCAATTCTTTTTTTTTTTTTTCATTTTGTTTTCGCAGTTTTTCTGTTCTCACGACATTTATTCTATGATTCTGTTTGTTGCGAATGAAGAGAGAAAAAAATGGAACAGCGCAAGAAATGTGTAAATGCATTCAAAGTGTGTCTGTGTATATATATGTTTGTGTGCGAACACGAGATGGCATCAAAAATCGAAAACCAACAAAGAAAAAAAAAACTAGATCAACAAGTTAAATGAAAAACAACGACTTTGACGTGAGTTAAAATGGCTCACGCTTTTCATTATTCATGCCAAACGAATTAAAATCGAAAAAATGGCATTTTCAATTTGAATCGCGCGCCCGATTTTTTTTTCTCCCAAACACGGGCTCAATCAATTGTCGAAACCGATTCGGTTTATTTCTCTTTCTCTCGATCGCATTCAATTCAACTGATCATTTATGCGCATTATAATTAGATGCTTTTAAAAATGTTCACGTTTCGCTGGTATATTTTGTTTTTGTTGTTGTTTTGAATAAAAATCATCAGAAAAATTGAACATTATTAAATATTAATATCATCATGTGTCCTTTTCATATAAAAATAACATTGAATTGTATTGATATGGAACTTGGAAGATCAAACACGAATTAGACCTTGCTGTGGATTAAATAAATAATCGGGAAAATTATGCTAGAAAATTGGCTGTGAAAAGGATGAGAACAACGGTTTGATCTCACTGAGAAATATATATATAAATATAAATCTCACTGAGTATAGTGTTCTTAATCACCCAAATTCTATGAAATGTCTCTATAGGCGAATCGATTTATATTGAATCTAAACAAAGAAAAAGAGAAAATGAAAAAAAGGAACTCACCACTTTCATGTTGAAATCGACAGTTTTGTTTCTAAACAAAAAAAATTAATTCAAAAATATGACACTTTTTTTACGGGTAACTCCCAGCAATATCACAAATATGCTGATTCCTTGGTTCAATTGCTTGCTAACTATGAACTTTATTGACAACGTTTCAAATCACTGTTTTTTACTCGCTTGAATTGTACACTCTTTTCAATTCAAAAAGAACAAAAACCAAAACTGCGACAAAAATCCAATAAACTATTATTGAAAATGTGCTAATTGACGTAGTTTGTCTGTTAATCTGAATGCGTTACACGTATTATGTATTATGCTCTAACAAGATTCGGATTGTATTGAGCAGGAGCGATTTTTTGTGTGTTATTTATTGGTTGGCAGCGACGATGATAATTATAATTACGCGAAATGTGTTGTTATTTATGGACGAGCACACAAATTGAAATGATGCTGATCGGAGGAAAGATGCTGTCTTATATAGCTGAAAGGAAAATCGGATATCCATGAAAAATGCGAAGAAGTGCCATATGCGAACACCGCGCGCGGTACACACTCGCAAAACACAATATCTTAGGTTGTTGTTTTTTTTTTGGATGGTGGATGCATGTAAAAGGCTTGCATAGAGAGCGTGTAAGCCTTCTTATGATTTTCCATCCTGCTCATGATCATTATTGATCAGAGCCATTTGGATCAATCTGACTCTTTCAGATACGATGTAGATGTGTGTATTATAGATCTTAGCTTATACTAGCTCTCTACCCGCACAGCCACCGCCGCTGTTGTCGTCGTCGTGTAGCAGCCGTGTTTCCCCCGCGTCATATTTGCTTTTGTTTTATTTGTTTGTCTCTCAGTTTCATTACATTTACGCTTTCAAGTAGTTTTTGTTGTTGTTGTTCATTGCTGTTACCCATGCTTGACTCATTGTGGTGGTTTGTTGTCACTTAAGTTAAGCACCAAATCGCACATACACTGTATGTCGTGTCATCGTTTAACGATTGTGTATAGATCATGTTTAACAGACAACAACGATGCCAACCAATAACATAATTTTATTGTTTGCTCTCTCACTCTCTCTCGCCTTTGTGTCTCTTTTTGATTTTTGCTCGGTATTTCTCTCATTTCTTACCAGCCGAATCGATTCCCATGCTCATTCAATGGATGCATGAGATGGAGAATGGTGTTGTTGTCGCGGCCGATGCCACCGCCGTCGACATTGCCGTTGCTCACTATTTTAGCCGCTAAGCTATGATCCAAATGAATTTTTCGTTGTGCAAAATGCTCTGGTTCCAGTGTTTCATTGTTGTTTTGCGATATTGATCGCGGAACGGCGAACACAGCTCAATAGCGTGGTGCATTCAAATTGAGATCTCGATGTGTAGCAATCATCATCTTCACCAAATCGCGTATAAAAAATGTGTTCATGTAATTGAAAATTCGATATCTAACATAAACCTTTCGTTTCTTCTTCGACTACGTTCAAATGTAATGAAAAAAGAAACCTCAACAAGTTTGCAGAGCGTACCAAACAAAAATTACACCAATAACATAAAATCCAAACCAGAAAAAAAGAATCGAACAATTTCTAGTGACGCATAAAAGAAAAACCTTTTTTTCAAGCACTTTTCTACATTCGACATATTTTTCATAGCAAGTTTGGTGCACGCAAAATACGCACAGAACCACTCGTAAACAAAGTAACTATCGGAATTAATTGTTTTGTAAATGTGTACATTGGCAAAATCGGAGCGGCCTCAATGTATCGATATACTTTAGATAGTTTTTTTGTTCAATTTGCCATCGTCAAAACGAGTTACATTGAAAGTATGACAAATTCACGCATATAATACGCAATGCATTTTCCAGTTTGAGACTCAAATCATTGCAATCGAATAGGTAAATGTGTATTTCTTTTTGTTTTCGGGTGAAGGGAAGCGTGAACATGAATCAGAAACACTCTCATTTTAGCGCAATAATCTTGAGATTAGTGTCATCAGTATCGCGGAATGTTTTGCAGTTGTTTTTAGGACGCAACAGATGAAAAATAATGTGTTTCATTCATCGCACTGAAAGTGTTTGCCGGTATAAATAAGATGCGAACACTGCAGAACCAGAAAAATAAAGCGAAAAAAAAACCAGCAAAAATATTTTTTGTGAGTACATTCAAATGCATAGAGATGAGAGAATGAATATGATTTTATTATGACTTGTTTATTTATATGTTTGATTTTATTTACATGTCATTTCAATTTATTTCTGGCTGGTATCTTTTTCCAAACTAATAAAATTACAACAAAAATATACCGCAGCGTTTTTGGATTATCGCTTCAACTGAACATAGAGATGATGATTAGAAGACGAACAGCAGAAGTGGCAACAGTAGTAAATGCAATTTCAAGCTGTACGTTTCGGTATAATTGCTTCTGTTCGTCGACATGATGCACACATCTTCTTTGCACAAAGAAAACAAAGTGGAACATATTATTGTGCATGAGATAAAAATCACTAAAATGGTTTACGTTGATGATGTTCCGCACCAAATGACGTTCTAAGCAACATTCATCAAGATACACACACACATGCACCATTTTTAGTTGAGATGATCGAACTAACCGTATGTATGTATTGTGTAATTTTTGCAATTGTTAAAATCGATTTTTATCGATTTATCGCTCTCCAACAAATTAATATAATTTATTGCACTTTTCAATTGCATGTATCGCTGTTTTGCTTTTTCTCTTTGAACATTTGAGAGTCATTTCGGTGTGCATTTGAGTTTGGTTCAGGTAATTGTTGTCGTTTTCATCTTCTTTTTCGAGCGAAAAGTGTTGAAATATTTGATTTGTCAATGGTATGACCAATTGTATGAATGCTTACAACAATGATAATGAAAATTGAATCATGTCCCCACACAATTTCTTATACGTTTTGATGGTAAAAAAAACCAACATCACCTTTGCATCAGTTGATTAAATGAATTGAGGTTTTATTCTGATTATATAAGTAGAATGAAAAATTTAATGTACCTAGCTGTGGTTCACATTAATTTTTTTCTTTAATAGCATCGCTTCTATTTATGATTCAATGCTGCTGTGAATGTTTCGAAAATGGAAAATAATCATTTCTTTATTTTATTATTTTTCTGCATAAATGTGGTATATTCTTTGAATTTAGCTTTAATCGGCAGTTTACACGCGGCAAATCATTCAATAGAGTTAAAACATAGACAATATACAAAAAAGCCGTCATTAAGAAATGAAGTGGGAAAGTTATGAGACACAAATTTAATGGTTTGATCTATATTTGATAATGTCTGAGAAACTTTGAGAAAATAAGAAAATACAAAATTCTAAAATGTTGAATTAACGTGCGCTGAAATAATAAAAGAGGAAAATAAAGAGAGCGAAAGGTCGACCGATCGATGCTGAAATATTGATTGAATGGCATGGAAAATATTATTGCACTATATACACATTGAAATTGCTATTGTCTCTTTTTTCTATCGGGTTGTAACTGTCAAGGAGTTTTGCTTGCAAAAGATAAAACAAGGTACAAATTTGTACGGCGTAATTTGTTTCCCTGTCGCTGTCGAATTGTTTGCTCGATGTGTGTGTGTGTGTTCACGCCTCAATGAAACAATTGCCACTCGATTTCAGCGTGAAAATGTCATCATTTCAGTGTATTCTATGTGTGAATATCTTAAATTACATGAAATATTATTTATGAGTGCTTTATGGGTTCTTCCTATTCTGTTGTTGTTCGGCTTTTGTTCCGCCGTGTTTTTTCAGCGCTTTATCAATCGCGGCACCGACACACCACACATACACACACACAGCGAGAGAGAAAAAAAGAGATTGTTCCTCGATATCTCAATGCAGACAGATAGCGATCACTCATCGATGCACTTCAGCATTAAATGCTAGCAAATGTTCAAATGCGCGCACTCCATTTGACAAAAGATTTATATGCGTTATTATTATTGTTATTATTATTTCAGAATATGTGTATATGTTCCGTATATTGCATAATAGACTCGTGTGTGTGTGTGCTGTTTGTGGTACACAAATGTATGATTTCATGGCTCATGATTTTCTCACTGATGATTTTATTGGCGCTCTCTGTCTCTTCCACTTTGAACAAATTGAAATTTAATTTGCGAAAGTCTGTCTGGAATTCAAAAAGTTTGCGATTCATGTTTGCACAAACTTTTTTGCGGATCACGCCCACTCTAAGTTGCTCAGGTAATCTGCTTTACAAATCACTGCACGATTAGATTTTAATTATTTTGATTACATATTTTTACAGCTTTAAATCCGAACGAATCCGTATTCACAACCAATGTGATGTTTGTGGTTGCATCAAAAACGCGATGCGATTTACGATTACATAAATCGAATTGACTGTGCATTTTTAATTGTGGATATTTGAAATTGAATTTACAACCAAACATTTGAGAAAACAATTATATGACACTAATCGATCATTCTCACATGAAAGTCACAAGCGGCGGCAGAAGCAGTGTTTGTGTTTATTTTTTCCACAGTTCACCGAATTTCAATTACACTGTGTTATGAGAGGACAAATATGCTTAAAATGCCAATGCGTTGTCATTGAACAATCGTATCCATGAAACTAAGTAAATAAGTTTGCGTCAATTAGTAGTTAATCGTTGAGGATCATCTCATTTATTATATATATTACACAAAAAAAGAGACAAATCGACCTAGTGAGTCAAAAAGGCACAGTTTTCGAACTGAAAACAACAATTAAAATTTCGATGGAAAAAAGAAGAAGAGACAATCTGTTGATTGATAAAATTGATCGAATTTCAGATGCAGCGCATATCATTGAGATAAATCACAATATAAAAGTGAAAATAATGTATTGCAAATTATGAATTGGTTGGAATAATGATGCTGCCGTTGCTGCTCCGTCACTTTGTTGTTGGATATATGTCTTCATGGACTCTCACGCAATCGAAATTAACAACAGTAATTTATGTCTCGTCAAAATGAATATGTGTGTGTCTTCTTAGTTGGAATGATGCATGCGCGCGAATAAGTCACTTATTCCTTGTTTAGCATAGTGATTTACAATGGCAGCCAGATTAAGTGCGCTGCAACCAATGAAATGCCATTTTATTTTTTTTATTTTGGAACTTTTTTTTCGATTGTATTTCTCTCTCTTTCTTGCTTTTTTCTTTCTCTTCATCATTTTTTTTTTTGTTATTTTAATACGATGCGCCATTGATGCGCACAACATATAATTCAAGAGTATGAAACGGATGGCATAAAAGTACCATTTGCATTTCCTCATTTGTACGAAGAGAAATCCATGCCCTTCGCATAATTTGACGGTTGACGTGTATGCAATACACGATCAAGGAAGTTTTTAGAGCGATTGATAATAATTAATCGAGTAATTTAATAATGCTGCGAATGAGACTCAAAATC